GAGTCGCCATGATGCTCCCACTCCAGACAGACGCAGGTTAAGATCCTCTCTGGTAAGCCAGCTCATGGGCTACACAGAATATTAGAAATGGGTTAAAACAATATGTAAGAGCTAGCCAATAAGAAACTGGACCTAGCCGGGCCAGACAGTGTTTGAAAGAATACAGTTTCCGTGTAATTATTTCGGGCATAAGCTAGACATGAGGGCGGCCGGGTGCCGGGGACGCAGCCCTGCCGCCGCTCCTATTTCAACAACCCTGTCTCAAAAAACCAAAAAAAAAAAAAAAAAAAAAAAAAAAAAAAAAAAAAAAAAAAAAAAAAAAAAAAAAAAAAAAAAAAAAAAAAATTGAAGTAATTAAGGAAATTATTGGAACTGATGAACAGGGAAAGAAGGCACAAGGACAGGATAAAATGTCACCACTGGCTGTCAGAACTGGCTTACCCAGGACTTTAGAGTCCTACCCTGTAATTTACTCTGACAAAGTATCAGCTTCTAAAGGCTCTAAGGGAGCCAAGCAAGGTAGATGGATACCAATAGGAATGAATGACCTAAAAGAAATTAAACAAGCTATCATTACTTGTGGATTGCATTCTGTATTTGTTAAGGAGATGATAAAAACTTGGGCCTCTCATGTCAGAGCTAAAACCCATGATTTTTCTCAGTTAGTGTCAGCAGTCCTGGATGATGGACCTTCCTTGATGTTTGAAATTTATTTCAGGGAGGAATCAAAAATATGGAACAACAGGGAAGAGCAAAAGGTTTGGAGGCTTCCCAAGATCAAATTCTTGATGAAGGACCATATGCTGACCCACAGGTCCAAGCTCTTTACAACGAAGAAGTATTGTTCCTATGCCACAAAGCAGCCTTGAATGCTTGGGATAGAATTCAAGAATTGGTAAAAGGATTGAATCATAATACCAGGGTTAGGCAGAGACAGAGAGAACTCTTTACTGACTTTTTACATAGATTAATTAAGGCTCCACAAATAGGAGTAACAGACCCAGAAGTTAGATGAATAATTCTTGAATCTCTGGCTTTCGAAAATGCAAACTTAGAATGCAAAAAGATAATTAGGCATTAAGGTCTAGATCAGCATGTATTGTTGAATGGATTCTGCATACAATGATGATTTGACATTAAGGATGAATCTTGGGTAGGAGAAGCGATTTCCAAAACAATGAGAAGACATCAAACTCCCTAATGTTTTAATTGTGGTAAAATAGGAAACCTGAAAAGGATTTCAGGCAAGGAATTTTTAGGAATAATATCTCATCTGGGAATGGCAAAAATAGGAGACCTCGGGCTTGCTTCGGGTATATGTAGAAGATGTGGTAAAGGACGACATTGGTCCAATGAATGCAGATCAAAAAAAAAAAGACAGTCAAGGCAACCCAATACCAAACTCTTTGAGGAGCCTCTCACAGGACCCCAAGCTAAAATGGCCCAGTTATTCCCAGTAACTATGGAGGAAAATTAAAAAAATCCAGAGCCATCTGTAAAAGACCATAATGTTCTAAATGATGGCACAAATTTGGAGGATTAGTCAAAAATTCAAATAGAAAATAAGAAGTGTATATTCTGGCAAACTTCTATAAATGATCAGAGGCCAAAGCTGAGAGTGTCTATAAATGGGATTATGATTGTTGGCTTGATAGACACAGGAGCAGATGTGAGTATCATCACTCCAGAATCGTGGCTTCCTATTTGGCCTCTTCAAGGGGCAGCTATTCAATTACTAGGAATTGGAACCATATCTCTAGTTAAACAAAGCATGTGATGGGTTTACTGTATTGGGCCAGAAGGTCAAAGAGGAAAGATAAGGCCATATGTAGCTGATATTGCAATAAATTTATGGGTTCATGACCGGTTCAGTAATGGAATACCCAGATTAACATTCCTACAGTCCAAGGAACTTATAATACTGAGAAGGATGTAATAAGGTGCTACAAAGGTCACCAGCCATTCAGGCTGTATAGGAATGTAAAGCAACTAACAAACCTTTAGAGGTACCAACAGCCCTACCATTAAAATGGCTGAGAAGCCAATATGGGTTAAGCAATGGCCTCTATCTGACGATAAATCGCAGGCTTTAGAACAATTGGTACAGGAGCAATTAGATGCTTGACATATTGAGGAATCAACCAGCCCTTGTAATTCTCCTGTGTTTGTTGTAAAAAAAGAAATCTGGTAAATAGAGAATGGTGACAGATCTAAGTGCTGTCAACAAGGTAATACAACCTATGAGCCCTCTACAGGCTGGAAGTCCTCTGCCTTCTCTGTTACCAAAAGGATAGCCTCTTATAGTTATTGATTTGAAAGATTGTTTCTTCACTATACCTCTACAAGAAAATGATAGAGAAAAATTAGCCTTCACAGTGCCTCCTTATAATAATTTTCAGACTATTAGGAGATATCAGTGGATTATCTTCCCACAGGGGATGCTCAATAGCCTCACATTGTGCCATTACTTTGTAAGTCAGCAATTGGAAATAATATGTAAGCAATTTTTAAGTCTATAATTTACCACTACATGTATGACATTTTGCTATCTGATTCAAACATAGATACTTTAGAAAGACTGTTTGAAGAAGTGAAGAAGTAAAGATAGTTTTACCTAAATGGGGATTGCAGATTGTTCCTGAAAAAAATACAGAGAGGAGATTCTGTCAATTATCTAGGGTATAAAATAGGTTTACAAAAAATTAGGACACAAAGGCACAAATTAGGAGAAACTGGTTATGGACTCATAATGACTTTCAAAGATTATTAGCAGACATTTCTAGTCTATGACTGACTGTTAGGATAACACTTGATATAATAATTTATTTAAAAAAAATTTAGACAGTTATAAAGATTTGAATAGTCCCAGAGAATTAACAGCTGAAGCAGAAAAGGAAATAACAACAGTTGAGGAAACATTACAGGAGGCACATGTCGATAGAGTGAATCCAAGTCTTAGTTGTTTTCTAGTCATGTTGCCTTCCAAAATTTCTCCTATAGAAATTTTAATGCAGAGGGAAGATATTATTTTATAATGGATCATTTTGCCACATAAAACAAGTAAAAAATTTAAAAATTATGTGAAAAAAGTCTCTGAATTAATTATAAAAGATAAATTGAAACTTCGTCAACTAGCAGGTATAGACCCAGCAGAAATTATAGTGCATT